GAATGGCGGACGTGGAGGACCATGACCACATCCACATCCGCCTGCAGCTGAAAAGCATGAGGACGACATCATTTTTCTCAGAGCATCGTTATATCCAACGATTGAGATAAGACTGTCGTGAAGAGGCTCCTGAGCAAGTGGATGTGCCAAGGGATAAGGTGCATGCAGAAGAATGGACGAGCGGCAAAGAGCGGCAGTATGGATTGTCAGAACAGACGCGAGTCATGGGCACTGTGGTGGTCACGGAGTCGTCGCCAGCGCCTTGAAGTCGTAGAGCCTGAGTGAAAGGTTTGCGACGGTGAAAGAAAGGAACTGCGACGGAGGCGGTGTTTATATGATAGTAAATGCTGGGCGCCTGGAATGTTCTCGAAAGACGTCAATGTTGGGTGCACCAGGGCGCTAAGAGGACTGAAAGAGACGCTCGGCGTGATCGAGGCATGATTATCTTATCTTATCGACACTTTCTCACCCCGCCTGTCCTGGACTTGGTCTCCGCCTCTCACCTCGACCGCACCAGCGGATCCATACCCTGCTCGTCTCTATACGGAGTGCTCATAATCGCTGGCAGAAACAGTTCCCGACCCGTAGACGCGACCACGGGCGTCATCGATGAAGGATCTAGCACGTGAGCGTAGCAGATGCGCAAACTTTTGACTGATAAAAGACTTGAATCTTTTGCGCAAGACTCAACTTGGGATCAGACATTTGAATAATTCTATGGAGGAATATTGATGGTGCAGATACGCATGAATTATACTTGAGGCCAAAGTCGAAAGAAGATAAACTGAGAAGGGTACAAATGCAGAGGTTACAACAAAAGTGCGGGAGGACCCAGAGAATACATGATATATAAATCCAGAAATACATGGGCAAGTAGAGAAAATGAAGAATACCGATACAAGAAAGAAAAAGAAACTGAGGTGAGGAAGACATTTGAGGCTTATGGCGGCGCCGACCGATACTGATACGAAAAAGACCAACGAGCAAGATTCCACTAGAATTGTATGCTCTATGTTCACCGACCCGAACAAAGACACCGACACCATCTGGTATGATGGGACGCCACCGTCGGTGCACGAAGCCACAGACAGACACCCTCGTCAGAGCGCCAGCTGCAGCCCGTACACCAAACACTGCGGGCCCACAAGCGAAGCCGAGACGTCCGTCAACGCTCGAGCGACACCTGCAGGGTCCGCGGCGCGGAGGAGCGCACACCTCGTCAGGCGACACCCCCATCCCGGTGGCGAGGACATCGACGGGCTCGTCAGCCCGAAGATGCCCTGTCCTGATGAGGACGGCAGCAAGCTCGTCAGCCCGCCGAACGCCCTCGTCCTAGTTTGAGTTGTTGGTGTCGGGGTGGAAGCGGTGTGTTGGGTGTCGGGGGGCCGATGTGCCATGTTTGCTTGGTATTGAATATTTGGTATGCGGGGTGTCCTCGTTTGTTGAAGTGAAGACCTAGTCTTCCTCGTTCTCTGGCCCCGATGGGTGTTGTGCGTCTCGGGATCGCGCTTGTCTGCGCTTGCGACGGCGACGACCAGGAACCTCGACTCCAGTTCCCTCAGCGGAGGCTGGGAGTTCGGTCGTCGCGGTAGTGGGGGGTGCAGACGCCGACGTGGAGGAAGAAACAGGAGCCTCTTCAGGCTGCTGGAGTTCGGCTATCGAGGGAATGGAAGGTACAGATGGAGATTGAACCGTTGGCGCGGGCGCAGGGGGGGAAGAGACAGAGGAAGAAGCAATAGGAGGAGGGGGAGCAACGAAGAGAGGCGAATCAAGGGTGATCTTGCTGGAGGTGGCCAATGCCTCTGAGCCTATGCCCGGCTAGAGCAAGGTAAGCTATAATCCCATCGTAGTGAAGCAGGAATCATACCATCTGTGAAACTTCCTCCATCTTCTCAGACACATTGGATGAGTCGCTGACGGACTCCACCTCATTGAGGGTGTGCTTGCTGGACGAGGCAACCGGAGGGTCTACGGAGAGCTATAGAAAGTGAGAAATGAGCTCAATACAAGAGCAGGGAGACGAAGTACCATCTGCTTGACCTCCTCCAACTCTTCAGGGACGTCCTCGAAGTCCTCGAGAGAGGAGTTAAAGGACTCCACCTCGTCGGCTTCGTCGTCCCCCGCCTCAACAGCTTCATCTTCCTCGAGGTCGACGGCCTTTCCCCTCCCCTTGTCGATGACTTGCTTTGGGACTTCAGAGTCAGAGTCGCCCGCGGAGTCCGGACCGAACGAGAATTTGGTTCGGACATCGACTAAGGGCGTCTCGTGGTCGCTAATCCCAGAAAAGGGGTCTTGAGGTTTGGGCTGCTCGAAGTTGATCATGACACCCTGAGGGATGTAGATAGATACCAGGTTTGGAGAAGACTATCGCAGGAATGCTGGTTAGTGATGGATCTAAAACAAACGATGGGAGGCACTCACGATGGGCATGGACTCCAACTTGGTAGGTTCAGCGCGTCGTGCAGAGACCTTGATCAAGGCCCTGCCAATGAACGTGCCAAATTGGAAAGCAATGAATGCAAAGATAGGCAAGGCCATCACGAGAAGGACCCAAGGTGTGAGCCCCATCTCCAAAAAAGAGTCAGCAGCAGATGAAGGAAGACTGGTCGCCTGCGCAGTGGTGGTAGCCATGGAGCGATAGTCCAAGGTATAATAACTCTTGTCGACGACGAGACGCATAGGCGATTTGGTAACCTGAGGAAGAGGAACAAGGCCTTCGACGTAGGATTGAGGCCTCATCTCCACTGCTCCTGGTGGATGGTTAGGGAGCAAACTAGTCACTGCGAACCCAGTCACTGTCGCGAGGATGACGAATGCAGTGGTACGAGACATGACGACGGTTTGTTCTTTACGCCGAGACTGCTTGGTCGCCCGAGTGCGAATAGAGGCGTAAAGACGTTTGGTATAGGAAGACTTGAGTGCGGCAGTGAAAAGGGCGCCGAGGATGAAGCAAATGAGAGTGGAAGTCCAACCGGCGTTGGTGCCGTTGTTCGCGGGCTCGGGGTCTTCCACGGGGGAGGGAGGTGATAGAGGCGGAGGCGGGGGAGGAGAATCATTATTGCGTGCACGCTTTGATGCCCGCTTCTTCTTGCTTTGGGGTTTCTTGCTGCCTGGAGAAAGACGCGTCAGTTGGTGGAAAGGACTGGGCGGGCACCAACGTACCATCACTGCCAACAACAGCAAGTGTGGGCTGGCGAGAATTCCCATCAGAGGCACCGTTACCTCCTACAAAACACCGACGTCAATGGCGGGTGAGAGAAGACAATGATGCGACATACCTGAACCATTATTTCCCGGTTCATCGTCAGGTCCGTTACCGCCACCCTGGGGCGACGAAGAGCCCCCCGAAGCGATTCGAGCAGCGATGGCCGCCAGCCTAGAGCTCCTTCGCGGCCCATCGCCTGAGGCACATACGATCTTCTCATCCATGAAGGCAGAGAGTTGGGAGGGCCTCGTGCAAGCCGGACCGTAAACCTTGCTGTCGACAACAGGAGGTGCATCTTCTGGAGCAGACGCCCTCGCCTTGAATTACGACATCGAGGTCCTGGCCAGGGACATCGCAGACGATCTTCTCGTCCATGAAGACCGATAGTTGGGAGCGTCTCATGCACGCTGGTCCGTACACCATGCTGTCGACGATTGGAGGAGCATCATCTGGGGAACAGACGCCCTCGCCCTGCGCCACGATGGCGAGATCCATCCCAGGTCCGTCGTTAGATGCACATATAGTCAGAGCGCTTCTGATGGCACGCTCGTATTCGAAGGCGGCGAGCTGGGAAATGCGCATACAGGCTGGCCCATGGACCTTGGCGTCATGAACGAGGGCTTCCGGGTTGGGCAGGAGCAGGTCGGTGTCGATGATCCTGCCTAGGCCCGAACGGCGGGATAGAATGTCTTGGAAGAGGGTAGAGGAGTAGACGTCCCGGGCGAAATAGGCGACTGATCCAGCGACGTATGTGGCGGCGATGAGAGAAGCAACATTGGGGTCGAGTTCGAAAGGAATGAGGTCTTGGGATCTGGAAGCGGCGAAGAGGCTAGCGGCGACACCGATGTTCAGGGCAGCAGCAGGACGAAGGCCAACAAAAGACGTCCCGCAATGCGGAGAAGGCATCTTCACGCCCCGCGTAGCTAGATATGAAGGCATTTAGACGCAGAGGGAGGGTGACATGTTGGTGGTGCGAGTGAGGGTATGAGCCTCCGGTCTTTGAACTCGTTGATTGCTATGTCTTGTTTGCAAGCAGTCCGCGACGCGACGCGTTCAGTCCCGCGTAGTTCTCGATGGCGTTCCCTTTGAAATGGTGCTGGTGGTTAACCAGAATTGATCCACTGGAGAAAATCCATTCACACCTACTTCGTTCACCACGGGTTTGCTTCCAATGGCAAGGGTGCCCTTCAGCAAGTGCAGGGTTTTTTTTGCTGAAAGGAATGAATAGTTTCTATCCATTCCTTTCTTTTGAAGCAGCAGTTCGCGATCGGTCCTTTCTCGGCCTCCTTTTTGCGCCATACTCTGCCAGCTGCGAAGAAGATATAATCGGGCTGGAGTCCGGGTTTCCATAGCCTGGAGGCTGGAGGGCGACGGGATTTTCATGCAGCATTTTGAGCTAATATTTGAAATGCAGCCCGCGACTGTCAGAATTGGAGGCTTGTTAGACGATAGAGGTCGATATTGGGTCGATGTTCATGTGGTCACTGTTTGCTCCGGCCAGCTCCGCTCCCGAATCCGGATCGTGAATTCCCACGGATCGTTTCTTTCTGCTCCATCACTGTCTGCGACTCGTCCATCGCGATATCCTCAACTCGACCACACCGAGCGAGCATCGGGACAAATAGTCTCTGCGTCGAATATAATACGCCAGTGTACCACACTGATAGCAGGATGAACTGAGTGGTGATACGTCGGTGGATCTTCGCGAGCGTGGATTGGATTTCACCAAATTCGATCATAACATTTTGCTTGCAAGAGGTTACATGGAGATGAAAGGTCTGCTCCGTTCTCTTCGTCCTCTCCGTTTCCATCTTATTGAGCAACAAAAAATGCCCAGAAACGTGTCTTAATGGACAAGACCTTCATGCTTGGATCACACATTTCTTTGGACTGCTGTACGCATCGCCACTTGATATTGCGCTCGCCGTATCATTACCTTAAGTCCTTCTAACATCGAACACCCACGGATACACGACCTCTCTACGCACGATGACGTCTGAGTGCTCTCTGTGACCGGCCTCTGGTGTTTAATTTGAGAAGACAATCGTTCTCCTTCAAACGTCTGAGATGCTACTGGTTTAGAGTCTGTTGTAATGTGGAGGCTCCCTTGTAGGCCGTTTTCTATCCGACTGTTGTCTAGGCTCCTGACTCGCGCGCTTCTTAATGAATCTTTAATCCAGTGTAGCCGCGGTTTGTGGACGTTTACTTGACATGCCACGCAAGGTGTAGATCAAACATTTTGTCCGGCCATTTATGTAAGCTCATGCTAGGAGCATATCTGCGAGCTGGTGAATCCATTTCCGCTCAGAAACTCTCTTGCGACTCCTGCACCAACCTGACAATCGAAATGCGTATTCTCGTATCTGCCATTGCCATTCTCGTATTTGCTGTCTTCACAAGGCTCGTTTCTTCCCAAGTCACGAACCTTGCTGAGGTCAAGCGTGCTTTTGAGGACGCTGGGGTGGGTCATCGATTCTTACGCATTGCTGGCCACTAACTGGAACGCCGTCTTTCCCGCTCAAATAGCTGGTGCAAGATGTTCCCTTCAACTTCACTCCCTCGGTTTTACTCGGAGTCACCTACTTTTCAGCGAAAACCGGGCTCAAATCTGTACGCACCGGTGCTCGAATGTCAACGAAAGGTGCGTCCGTATTCTCTATTTATCAAATTTCTGTTTCAAGCTCACGGAACATGCTCCCCCCCCCAATGCGCAGAGACTTATTCTCCCCCAATCTTCAGTGTTGTCGGCGACCCGGGTCTTGGACCCCTCGTCATCGCCTTGATTGATCCTGATGCCTTCTCGCACCAAGACACCTCCATCGCCCAAATCCGCCACTTCCTTGGGGGAAACTACGCCTTCAACCCAGCATCAGGGCTGCTCACACTCCCCACTTACGATGTCGAAATTTCACCCTATCACTATCCAATGCCTTATGTGTCGTCGGGCGTTCATCGGTGCGTATTCTCAACGGCTCGGAGCGCGTAGCGATCCCACGCATCGAGGCGAGAAACGAGCTGATGGATGATTCGTGTTGTAGATACACGTTTTATTTGTTCAGGCAGTCCGTCGAGTTCTCTAGGCAGACGTTGATCAACAGCACTTCCCCACGCGGCCGCTTCAATTTGACGGATTTTGCGCTCAAGACCAACCTGGGAGAGCCGATCGGGGGAACCTTTATGTTGATGGAGCCTGATTACTATTAGAGTAGTGTTGAACGGCGCAGGATCAGGAGCTATTATATACTCTCGTATGTGATCCTTCTGAATCTCCTTCTCATCCATTGAGGTATGCCAGTGTCCTCCTGGACGTTGGATAGGAATCGAAATTCAATTTTACTGTCATTTTTTGCGGAGTAGTTCGCCCTGTGAGGCAATACCACCTTCTGTGAGTCGTGCTTTACGTGCCCGCCTGCGAACCGCTGAAATTCTCATGCTGCTAGGTGGCGATGCTCAGAGAAGGCAACCTAGAATCGTGAAATATGCTCGCGCAGGAAACGAGGCCGTGGTTCCTCGATTGAACCGCTCGATTCCCGAGGTTCTTCTTGCGAAATTAGTACCGTTCCACTCGTGCGTCGCCACCTTACCCTCCGCAGTATTTAAGTCAGGTCAATACTTCGTCTATTCTGCCCCCCACTCCAACTTCAATTGACGCACACTGCACCACCTGGAAAGTAGAATGCGCACTCTCATATCCGCTATTCCCGTCTTACTTGCGGTTGTGTTCGTGAGACTTGTTTCTGGGCAAGATACAAACCTTACTCAGGTCAAGCAGGCTTTCGAGGAGGCTGGGGTATGATGCTCCTCCCACGGAACGGAAATCTGGTCTGACATTATATATCTCTGGCCAGATATTGAAAGATGTCCCGATACCGTTCAACCCCTCTGTACTGTTCCATGTCACCTACTTTTCCCCGAAGGCCAGCCCGAGGACCTTGTACGCTGGTATGCGGATGAACCCGAAAGGTGACCTTTCTTCATCACCTCTCCTTTTGTACACGCATTCAATACGCAAAACCCCGTAGATGTCTATTCAGTTCCCGTATTTAGTGTTATCGGAGACCCTGGTCCAGGTCCACTCGTCATTGTCCTCGTTGACCCCGACGCCTTGTCGCACCAGAACCCGATCATAGCCCAAGTACGCCACTTCCTAGGCGGTGGCTACTCGTTCAATCCCGAGTCCGGACTACTTTCGATCGACGGGCCTGTTGCACCCCCAACACCTTATAACCATCCAGCGCCGCTTATCGGTTCGGGTGACCATCGGTAAGCCTCCTCTCCGGTGCATAGGACAAGTTCAGTATGGGTGATACTAACAAACATATCCACGGGCAGCTATATTTTCTACCTCTTCAGACACTCCCTTCAGTTCTCGACACAGACTCTCATCACCAGCTCGACCGACAGAGGGCGTTTCAATCTGACAGATTTCGCCCTGAAGACTAACCTAGGTGCGCCGATCGGCGGAACCTTCATGGTGATGGGGCCGGTTGCGTAGAAGGCGGTATTAAATGCAGACTAAACAGTCAAAATCACCTCATATGTGTTGGAGGATTCGCCCAGCGTCATCCTGTACTAGACAGATACGAATGTGTTTTGCCGCTCGCCGTCTAAAGATAGAGAAAATTTCCCAATTAGGCATTATTTATCACTGCGATCATTAACACCCTCAGGCATGCTCTCCTTCATGTAACCCATTTATTCAAGAGCAGTACGCTGCTCCTGCAGTGATATTGAGTTTTCAGCTCATCATGAGGTCGAGAAGAAGTCTACGGAAGCACAACTTGTACACCCAGTTATTTTGGGAAAGTGTATCGGGTTGTGATGATAATAATGCCCCTGCTGATGCGTACAGTCTCACATAGTCTAAACAACATTACCTAGACCTCCCGAAGGGCTGCGGATTTGGGCTTCAAGCATGCCATAATGATGACTGACTGCCTCTAGCCTGTTTTGTGGCGTAGTTCAAGGGACAACGCTATTACATTCTCTTTCAATCGAATAATATTTGTGACTCACAGCTGCATTGGCAGCCATAAATTACCCTGAGCTGTTCTCCTTCAAAGACTATTCAAAACTTGGCTCCGGGACCCTATTCGACTGGAGCTATATATTCACAATGCACGCCATCATCGTCGTCGTCGGTATTCTTCTCAACGAGATACTGAATTGAATTACCCTGTGCATACAATGTGCATAAGTATCGATTTGCCCTTCTAGCCTTCGATTGCCATAGCATTGGTGCCCCGTCTTCTCTTACGCTCGATGGATCCCCAAATAGATATAGTTGCCCGATTAAGCCTTCTCGACGTTCGATCAGAATCACAGTTGTCTCACGGCCGTCGGAAGGCGGAAACTGGTACTGACTACGCACATCGACGTTTTCTGTACATCCGATGGTGTCTGCACCCGCCCTTGTGCAGGCCAACAAAACTTCAAAGTATAACCTTTCCTCTGGAGAACTAGTAAAAACAAGACTGAGTCTTCGCTTATCTCCGACGGAATTACGTTCCAGGCAGCTCCAAATTGGTACTTATAGTTGGACTAAGCGAACAGAGGTGCCTAGTCTGCACCTAGAACTCTCAAGGATGCACATCCCCAAGTTCTACACCGTTTTGAGCATCGCTGCCTTGAGCCTTGTCAAGCTTGCAGGTGCCCATGATACATCTCTAGCTTCTGTTAAATACGCCTTTCAAGGCGCTCACGTAGGTCCCACTAAAACATTCTTTGTGTATTCAACACACTAGCTTACTGGTTATTAGATACCCGAAGACTTGCGGTTAATATTCGAGCCAAAAATTCATCTGAAGGTCACATATTTCTTGGATGATAGAAGTACTTTCGATGTTTATCCTGGAGCCCCGCTTGCCCGCCATGGTATTGCCCGCCTCTCATACAATATAAGCACAGCGAACATACTGACAGACCATTATTGAATCCCCATCTCATTACAGACACTGCTTATCCTCCGATGTACAACGTCTCCGGATGTCATGTTGGCGCCGGTCCATTCGTGGTCACCATGATAGATCCTGGGCCCCAGCTGAACCCAAATATCACCCAAGTTCGCCACTTCCTGGGAGGGGACTACTACTACAACGAACTCAATGGAGTGTTCTACAACAGAACTCCAGCTGTCACCGAGTATAAGCAGCCCTCGCCTCCCCGTAATTCGGACCCTCATCGGTGAGTTGTCCATAGAGCAGGATATTTGGGAGATGAGTGTTCGTTAATTTGGGACAGATACACCTGGTTGTTATTCAACCAGTCCCCAAGTTCAGCAAGCAAACATTAGGAGACTCGACGACCAACAGACTATACTTCGACATCGCCAAGTTCGCATATGAAACCGAGCTTGGAGATCCCATTGCTGGAAACTTTGTCCTGGTGGGTCCCGAGGTCCAGGCTGCTGTGTAATGCGCTACGCCAAAATCTAGAATGGGATGAGTACTTCACGAAGAGCCGCGAGGACATAGAATGTTAATGAAAATGTTACATATTGATACAGATGTTATAACACGAATGAATGAACGTTGCTACGCGGTACCGAGACCGGCGTTCTATGGATACAAATGGGAGTAATTAGTGTCAGAGTAAGATAGTCATGAATCCAAGCGTGAGATGAGTCAAATAAAAATCGAAAAAGTTGTAGTCTAGTAGACTTGTGAGCCTCTGCGACGAAGCAACTGAACCTTCTTCGCAATATTGTTCTTCTTGGCGGCCATTTTCTTCGCATCCACGACGGCACTCTTCGGAGGAGTAGAGGGCCGGGCATGCTCATGCGGAATTGACGCGCGCGACTCTGCAGCAGAGAGCATATGCTTTCCCCCGGATGGAGGCATGTCCGCATCCACGAACATCTTCCTGTAGAACACGGGTGCCTGGTGAGAGGACAAGTCCCATGGATCCACCGCCTCCGGCTGAGAAAGTGAAGTGGGTTCCCGGACAGGTGCGTTCTGAAGCAACGCCTGTGAGTAGGTGCTGGGGTACTGGGGCGCCTGATAGTGCCACGCGACGGCTGGGCCGTCGTACTGGTAGCGCCAGTGAGGCTCGTTCGTCTCCGAGCAGTGCGTCGCGTCCGGGTGGGGGCAGCACATCCCGTTCGCCAAGGTGCCAGCCAAGCGCTGTGCCGCGAGCACCCTCAGACGGTCGCGCTCCAGCGCCAGCTCGCGCGCGGCGATGTTGCTGTAGAGCCTCGGACCCTCGCCGGGCTTGTGGGGCGAAGCGGCCCGACCGATCATACGCCCGGTCCCTTTGTCCAGGTCCTCCATCCGGATGCCGTGAGTAGGAGCTCGTCGCTGAGACGTACGCGGGTCGACCTCCTTCGCGAGTTTGATGGTGTCGAGTGGTTCAGGAGTCGGGTATCTGCCGTTAAGGCCGAGCTTGTCGTCGATCGTCTCGTAGTTCATGAAGAGCCTCGCCGCTTGGGCCTCAGGGACGTTGAGGAGGTCGTGGTCGAAGTCGTGCGTGACGGGGTCATTGAAGTAGGAAGTGGGGTGGACAAATGTGGTTGTCATCGTCTGGGCCATTAGAAGGTAGTAGTGAGGCGAAGATGGGATAGGACGGAAGAGAAGTGATCGATTATAAGGAGTGTAGACGCTTTGCGTGTGTACCTGGTTCGCCAGGAACCAAAATAGGATGCCGGATATGGTCGAAGTCGAAGTTGGTTATATGTATAGAGCGCCTTGACAGTGCGTAATGGTCGTCCGTCGTATTCGGGTGCTAATGAGTGGCGAGTCAAAGCGGGCCAACGACTTGCGTAGGGTTTGTACGGTGCGATTCCGGAAGGGGTATATCGATATATAAAGGAACGAATGAACGAAGTGACGACCAGGCAGCTGAAAGTCGAGGAGTGCGCAGGTGGCCACTAGAGTAGTAGAGGGGAGGGCCGTAAAGTATACCGTTGTCGAGGAGGTCAGGTTTTAGTATCGCGGGGATGGGCATTGTATGCTTCTGGTCAAAGCGGCGTGACAAAGGGGATGTTGAGCAAAGACCGCCGATTGTAGCCCTGAAAGAATACTGTGCCGTTCCTGATAGTCAATTCATTCGACGTGAGGACAAAGGACTTCGGGTGGCGCTATTGCCTTAACCGGATTGATATGGAGTTCCAGACCTATCGAACGCGCTTGTCGGCCGGGTCGGACTGGTGAACAGAGAAGATGAAATAAGAGTGAATTTCATGATGGCAACTAACCATTTAACTGGTCTGCACTACATTATCCTTCAGTGAAAACTTCGTTCGCTAGACAACTCTTCCATGAGCTCCGGACAGTAATGCACAAGGGTACGAGCAGCGGCAACGTAGGAATCTGCACGCGCCGTCTCCCTGCTGTTTCCAGAACCATATCCCATCCGTTCACAATCGATTGTCAATGAAGCGCTCCATCCCGCCTTACTGATCAAGCCGAAATCGAAATCCACTTCGCAGCCAAAGCGTCTGCAGTAATACTCAATAAGAAGGCGTGCGCCGTCGGACGTGCGAATGTCAATTGGCTCTGCATGATTGGCAGTGACGACCGTTACTACTGGAATACGGAGGGACTAGGGGAGTTAAGGATGTCCGTCAAGCGCCGTAAAAACTTCAGTCTGGCGAGGACGTACGATCCCAAGTTTCTCGAGCTGGTAAATGGCTGAAAGGACGGCTAGGTGAATCGATCTGACCTTGAGGTCATGGTCGCCTATCCCGGTGAGAGGTGAAGAAACATCGAGTCGCTCAGTGGTCCTTGTAAAAGAATCCAACGATTCAGGTACGAAGATATCAGCAACAAGCAACACGCACCTCCATACTAGTGACTCCTTGCCATCCTTCATGATTCTTCCCCGTTCCGACCTGTAGACGGGTGGCATCCCTTTGATGATGGTATGGAATTGGTCGAGCGCCTCCTTCGCAGGTTTCCCTTCGCGGGTCTGGTAGTGTTGGCGTATGATGCGAGCAACGTCGTGGTAAGGTTCATCAAGGAAGGGAATATCGAAAGGGTTTGACATGGATGAGATCGAACGCAGCTGTCTGTCGTTGTTGTTGAGGGCAAAGAGCATAGGCAAGATATTGTGATAAAGGACTTCATGAACAAACTGGACATTTTCCCACACTGAACAAACGAGGAGCTCAATCATGGCTGGCATGGACAAGGCTCCGAAAATGAGCTTGTGGGGATGAGCACAACAGGAAGACATGAGGTGAAAAGTGTTTTATTGCACCGGAAGTCTACCTGATTATAGAGGATACTAACTCAAACAATCTACGAACTTTTTCCCGATGAGTATACGTGGACAAAAGGCAGATCCAAAAGAGGTGCACCTGCTCAATAAATCATGGACGACATGTCCGTACGAATGCGGTTGTAATCCAGGAGACCCTCAATACTTCCAACACCGGCAAGAGCGAACTGAACAATAGAAAAGAATCAGTGAACTTGTACACAGAGTCACGAGAAAACTGGCACATACGTCCTTATCCCACAGATACTTCTGGGCGACCCGCTTGATCTCATCGACAGTGACAGCGTCGACGGCGCTCTCGATCTGCTGGGGGGTGAACCTCCTGCCGCTGGTGACGAGCTGACGGCCAATGTCCTCGGCGATGGCAGTGGTCCCGTCAAGTCCGAGAAGCAGACCAGCCTTGAGCTGGCTCTTGGCCCTCTCGACCTCTGAAATCGTAGGCGCAATGCTCATGCGCGTCCATTCCCTCAGCGTGAAATGCGTCAGGTCGTCCAAGTTCATCAGGTTCTCCGACACCAAGTAGATACCCCACAGGCCGGTGTCCGAGTAGGAGGTCGAGAAGGACATGAATGAGTTGGCAAGGTTGTTCTCGGAGATGATGTGCGAGAGGCGGGAAGAGGTCAGGGAAGCGCTGCCGAGGCTACGGTCCCAGTTGCCGAAGATGCTCTGCATGACCATCATCGGGAAGTAGTCGGGCGAGCTCCAGCCGACACCCTCGACGGCGATGGCGATGTTGGCGGTGGGTAAGTCGTCGTCGCGAATGCGAACTTCCGAACCAATGAAAGCAGTCTTCGGGTGGGAGAGGCGACCGAGGGGAATAGGGTTGGAGGAGACGGGGAGGGAAGAGAAGTTCTTCTCTGCGAGCTTGACGAGCTCGCTGTGTGTCACTCCACCGGCCCCAACGAGCACCATTCTGTCGGCGGTGTAGTTGGTTTTGATGTAGGAAGAAAGATCATCCTGCTTTATTGACAGAATGTTTTCCTTTGGGCCAAGGATGGTGCGTCCCAGAGGTTGCCCTGTGAGAGATACAAAATTTAATTTTCCAGTCGCGGAAGAGACGGAACACGAGTTGAAACTAACCTTGAAAAGCAACGGCATGCAGGTGGTCGAAGACGACCTCTTCTAGCTGCTTGTCAACCTCCTGCTGCTCCCTCAGAATGACATCCCGCTCCCGCTCGATCGCCGACGTCTCCAGTTTAGAGTTTTGCAGAATGTCGCTGATGATGTCCACCGCCACGGGGACGTCCTTCCTGAAGCTCTTAGCATAGTACACGGTCTGCTCACGCGAGGTATATGCGTTCAGGTGGGCACCGAGGTTCTCAACCTCGAGCTCCAGCGCGTGTTGGGACCGGCGGTTGGTTCCCTTGAACGCCATGTGCTCCAGAAAGTGAGCTGTCCCGTTCGTCTTGTCGGTCTCTGCACGACTGCCGGCGTCGATCCAGACACCAACGGTGGCTGTCTGAGCATGTGGGTGGGACTCTGTGGCGACAGTCAGGCCGTTGGGAAGTGTGGAGATTTCAGTAATGGGGTAGGCATTGTGTGCTGTCGCAAAGCCGCGCAGAGCTCGCTGGCAAGGTCGTTCTTGTAAGTTTCCTGCTACAATTTCGAGGATATGAAAGCAACACCCACCGGGCTGCGCGTTGCGCTCCTGAGCGCACGGCTAAGGACCGTTCTTGTGACCATGGAGGACGACGACGAAGGTGGTCGAGTTTTTTGGGAGAGAGGACCGTTCGGAATATCACGCAAGCCAACCTCCAATCGGGGTCTGCCGGAAAGTAAAGAGTCACATGACCTCCTTGTCCAATCACGCCACGCCAATTTCGCAGGCTTCGCATGAAGGCTGAGAAGCTGCGGAGTTCCATCATATCCACCTACCCTAGCAAGACCGTCCCTCTTCTCCTCTGTACTCCATGGCTCTAGCCTCCACGGAACCTCCTCCCCCACCACCGCTCCCCCTCGAAACGGCTCCCACACAGGAGCTCTCACCCTACCAAGTCAAGCTCGCCTCCGCCCCTCCGACTACCTCACCAACATCCCGCCTCTACCCCCCAACCCGCCTCCATACGAACCGACCTACTACTACTTCTACGGCACGCTCGCGTCGGCCGAGAAGCTGCAGCAGATCCTCGGCCTCCCCGCGCCGCCGACGCTCGAGCGGTCGCATATCGTCGGCTATGAGCTCGCCAAGTGGTTCGACTACTTCACGCTGCTGGACGGGCGGCCGGGGGACCGCGTGGACGGGCGCGCCTACCTGGTGCGGTCGGCGGAGGACGAGCGGCGGCTGGCGCGCTGCGAGACCTGGCCTACCGGGAGGCGCCGTGCTGGATCGGCTTTGAGGATGGGAGGGAAGGGATGGGGAAGGTGTTCATGTATGCGGGCGATCCGAAGGCGTTGAAGGAGGGGAGGCACGATAAGGTTTTGTGGAGGAGGCAGTGGGAGACGGGGAGATGAGACGTTGGGAAGGGGGGAGGGGAGGAGGGGTGGGGTGTTGGAGTTGAAACGCTCCTCAGGCCCAGGTCTCAGCGACCACATACAAGACGACAAAGGAACGAGCTAGTGTGGCTTTTGCTGCAAGCTGCGTTTTTTTTTGAACATGGAGGTATCCAGGACAGCGCTTGTCGTCGGCCTTGTCGCGTTTAATGTGGCATTGTGGTATTCAGAATTACTGACATTTCTTCTAGATCCCATTTGAATCCCTTCGGCCGATAACAGATGACTGGGAAGAGTGGGACGCCGAGCTCGCAAGGCGTAGGATCTTCTGGGACTCTCTTGCCACTAAGGATTGGTTCCGTGAAAGAGGGTACACCCTCTACGATCGCGAATTCCCTGAATCGCAGACCACCGTCCCCGCATTGCCGTTTGAAGATTCTCAGGAAGCGAATCACCCTTACGCTGTCCACGCTCTGGATATGTCTTTTGGAGAAGTACCTTTACGTGCCACCGATTGGGATTCTGTACGCATTTTCACCCGTCTTCCAGTCATTTGCAGTCGTTCTAACAGGTTCGTCAATCTAGGGAAAGGTCCTTTTCGCGCAGGACTCACAGTCGCGCCATGTGGCAATAAAAATCGTGAAGGATGATGGTGACGAGTACCGCGTCCTTCAGTTCTTGCAACAGCAGCCACATAAAATCCTGAGGAGCCACTGTCTTATTCCAGCCCTTGACGTGTTGCCAGCCAATGGATACCATTAGGTACTATACTCTTCGTGGCTGTTGTGGCCTTCGATTCAGATTAACAACATCGTTCTGATAGATGGGGTGGAAGTGTGACGCTGCCAGCTTTCACGAAATTCTCGATCTTGTGAGAGCAATGTTAAAGGTGCATCTGAATATATTTTCTCGCACCTGAACCTTTTTCTCATTGCAATCTCTGATAGGGACTGAGTTTTCTGCATAAACACAACATCTGCCATCGGGTAAGTTGGATCAGCCCTGCTTTGGTCTGCTCTAGCGCTCATGTTATCCACTTCACAGGACGTGAAACCAGCTAATATGCTCGCTAACCACTTCTCCGATGACACTGACGCAAACTTCGACACGCGCATGCAGCTGCGTCTCCACGGCCAGCTGAAATATGCCATGTTCGACTTCGACTTTTCGATCATGTTTCCCCCTACCATCGATCGTGCCCTGTGCCGATTGCCTTACCAGAAATCATGGGAAGCGGCCTGGATTCGTCCATATGATACATCTCAAGGGGAGTTTGATTATGATCCCTTCGCGTTCGACGTAGGCACCCTAGGCTTCGTCCTCATCCACTCCTTCCGGGTATATTTCCCATTATTCTCCATACAACTCCCGTGCTCATTCAAGCCTACAGGAACGCATCCGATATGCTCCTCTACTTGCTCCGCTGCTGGATCGTATGACGACCCATCGTCTACAGGAGCGCTTCACGGCCGAGCAGGCTCTCCGATATCTGGAGGAAGCATATGCCGAAATTACTGAAGATGAGCTCTCGAAAGAGATGGAACCAGAGCCGATGCCCATTTGTGAGGACTCGAGAGACTTGTGGGTCGATGTCCCACCTCATCTTGCGGCACGCTGGTCGTCGCATCGACAGCCAGCTTTACCTCTGCGTCAGAAATTCCTCCGCTGGTTATGTCGGTACCCAACGATGCAGCATCTGGTTCTATTGGCGAGGTGGACGTTCTATCAACTGACTACATATCCTGCACGCTTCTGTCGATGCTATGGTACTCACTCGATGTGAATTAATTGACGGTGTAGATTAAATGGTGAAACTAATGCTGGGGCCCTCTAATGTATGATAAATTTGGGATGAAATTGAGATTCGAAGATTCCGTTGCGATTGCTGCCTGGCGCACTGCTGAAGGTCAGATTCTTGAACGCATTCAGCACGATGTGTCGATGACCCATTGGTCGGCCATATCGAGTAAATTTTCCCTAACTTGGATTCTTACTAAACATGAGAATGCTACATAGGAGCTTTCGATCGCCGAAGACAAATATTCCAACGAGCAGCGAATGCGCAAGAAGGCATCGTAAAATGTCATTAGGGGTCATTACAGAGAGAGTACGCAACAACAAAGAGACGCTCGAATAACAGAGTCAAGAAATAACTTATCCGACGCAAGTCGGGCCAAATAAACAGCCTTTCCAACCACATCATAACACCCCGAGTAAGCCTACTCTACGTCTGGGCCTTCGCCCTCACCTCCCGCCAGAACTCCTCCCAGCGTGGCGAGCGCTCATGCTCCTTTCCATGACCGCCACCCTCAGCTCGCGGCGGCGTTCGGGCTCGCGTCGGACTCCGCCCTTCAGTGTGCTGTGGGCGGGCCTGAGACGCAGCCCTCGACGGACCGTACGCCTCCCTCTGTGCGAGCGCGACGCGGTCGATGGCCTTGATGAGCGAAGGCGTGGCGGGGACAGGGACCGCGGTTGGGTGTGGACCAACAGAGGTCGCCTGGGATTGTGATTGGTGGCGCTTGAGGAAGCCAGGGCTCCATTCGCCTTCCTTCTCCTGCCCCCGCCCTCGTCGGTGATGGCGATCGACAGTGGCGAGGTCCTCTTCCTCCCAGTCCGAGTACTCCACTTCCTCCTTTGTCCCTGAGGGGGCACCGGTCCCACGGCGCAGCTTGTCCTTCACCGCCTCGATCTCCTTCTCATAGTCCAGCGTATTCAAGTCTTCCAACCTCCCATCTCCCTGCTTCGCCTTCTCCTTTCTCCGCACCGTGTCCATCCCAGCCCCGTCCGTGCGCCCATCGACGAGCGTCGGCGCCTCGGAGCTATACGAGCGTGAAAGCGGCTGGGCCCTTTGTCCCTTCGTTAGGAACGGAGGCTTCGTCTTTGGTGCACCAAGTGCGGGGGACGAAGGAGAGGAGGTATCGGAGGACCTCTTCTTCAAGCCCGCCTCAAGCCCATCGGCATCGTCATCGCCGTCAGAGTCGTCCGAGCTGACGTCGCCGAAGACCACCGGCTTCCTCTTGCGTCCCGCACAGTTTTTGTCATGGCTCCATCCACCAATTCCAAAGTGTTTCTTCCGTGGCTTCTTGAGGAGCTCAGCTGTCGTTGGTACGGGGTCAAGTTTCCTCTCCTCATCTGCCCCAGAAGAATCGGATTTGCCCTTCGACAACTTGCCGTGCGCTGCAGAAGCTCCAACGTTCCGGAGCATCATGGGCGTACTCGTAGGCAGCGTCGGGGTGAGGATCGCGGGCTTGCGCGTAGAGTTGAAGTCGGCTTCGTCAGGGAAGAGGATCTCCTTCTCCTTGGCACTGCGGGGCTCGAATGGACGGGCAGGCGGGAAAACGCGGTCCCAGAACGAGGTGAGAGGGCGGAAGCTGCCCGCTCGGTCGGCTTGATTGGGCAGGTTAGCGGCGTAGTTGGCGAGGTAGCTGTCCCATTTCTGCAGGAAAATGGCATTAGTATGGCATCACTCCGAGGGTAAAAGAGGAAGCACAGACCTCGTCAGGGCACTCTCCGATCCACCTCTTGAGCGCCCAATCCGAGGCCATCCCAAGCACGAAGAACACACCCCACGCTGCACTCAGCCCCTGTTCCTTCCCACCACCCCAACCTTCTCCGTCCCTCAACCAGAGCCTCTCCCAGACGTTCGCCCAGCCTGCTTGCTTCGGATCCATGAGGAGAGCAATGGCGAGGACGACACCGAAGGCACCCGTTGATGCGGTGCAGATCCGGAGGAGAGGATGAAAGTAGTTGGAGGTAGAGAGTCGGGGGATAGCAGCGCTGATGATAACAGCAAGTGTGGTTAGGGGGAGGAAGATGGCTGTGAGAATGATTCGAGAAGGTAAGGAGGGGTGGATGATCACGCAGAGTGCGATTGCTAAGAGGGTGCTGTCGGGGTATAGGTGGATGGAGCTGCTTTGGATGAAGACAAAAATTACTCACCCTCCAGATACACCATAGAAGATGTAAGCTGCATAGCGATATCGGCCGGCGAGCAGGATGGTGATGGCTGCGGTGATGATCCAGACGGCGAGGAAAGACTTCGGCGATAAGCTAGCAGCCGATGTTGTCGCAGGAATTAAAAGGGCCAATGCAGTCGATAGATGAACTGTTCAGGATCAGCAATTCGGAAACCGGGAACCAAACGAGAAGAAGCATACCACCAAATAGAAAACCGCCAATTAGCCCTCCAATACCACCCTCTAATGCCCAGGTGAATCGGCGTTTTTTCTTCGGGTGGTCGAGTGCACCAGGGAGTGAAGCATATGAGATGCCTATGTTGCGTGTTGGGAATGACCGTGTGCGATCCAGGGTGAATAAGGTGCCGGTAAACGTGAACAATAGGGAGAGCAGAAGAAGCGGCACGGCGTATGGCAGGAGATATGATGATGTGGGTAAAAGAGGTGTGAGTTGCGAGAGTGGTCGAGATTCGTCAGTGGAGGCCATTGTCGGCTGCAGTTATCGAGAATACAAGTGGAATCTGGTCGTCGTAAGTCGTAAGTCGTGATATTCGTGAGCCCGTGCGGTCGTAAGTATAGCAGTGGTGTGTTGAATGTCTCGGACGATGTGCTTGTTGTGCAGCCTATGCGTGCAAAGCGGCGACGGGCGGAGATCTTGAATGTCTGTGTCACAATACACCCATCCAAGTCGGTGTTGAGAGATCCAGGCACGAAGGCTGGAGGACAGTGGATGGGCCGCACAGGGTATCGCAGCAGAGGTGAGAGAGTCGTGCGATCAACTCCCGACAGAATGAGGTGACCTCGGCAGAACCCGACAAACTGCCTTTCGCGTCATAATCGCTTGGCGCTTCAGTGCACCATAAGTACAGTGCGTACAAGGTGCGCACTCATGAGCGGGACAAGGTCTAATCCGAGGCACACTCCTCTATCAAAGGTTGACCATAGAATAGGTCTCGGAGGCGTTGGCATGTTGGCATCCTGCAAAAGCATCATGAAAAACTGGTTGGTCAAAGAACGGTGGCTACTACTGCGACTTACCAGCCTGCGCGGAGAAAAGACATTCTATGGTCTAGTCGAGTTCATATATGCGCGTCAAATTGTTGTTCCGCGCTATGCAAAACGTAGCATCGGACCTTGGCCAATGGGGATGGCGGTAAATTTTCACTCAGAGCTCGTCATGACAGCAGTGCGATGCTATGGGTGTTGGTTCATCGTAGCAGGGGAGAAGTGGAGGGCGGCCTACGGCGGCGAAAAGGAGAAACTTGGAGGGAGATGAGGGGAGGAAGAAAGGAGTTGGGAAGCAATCCGCTTTATAAGAAAAATCGGCGTCGCGTCGATCGACGGCGCACGGACCATGCACGCGAGGTCTTCAAGTTGTGAAGTAGGAAATTCTTCGAAGAAAGAGGAGAGAATTTCGGGGGTTCGGCCCGCTGGGTGTAGAAAGGCCCATGTTATCAGTATACACTGGCACGCTGCAGCGGATTCTATGCAACGTTCTCAGTTTCAGTAAATTCAGGCAGCTCATCGCTGGGCTACTTGTGCCACGACCCATATTCGGAAAATAACCTTTCAGTTAGTGGATTTATTCTCTTGAACGACGTTTGGGCGACTTGGGTACAATTGGGTAGCCTTGAGCACGACGTACTGTCGGTGCGGATAGTCCCAAGTTAGGGAAGAATTCGCGGCGAAGTCGAAGTCGAATGCGGCCAGTCGTTCAGAGCACGAACGGCTCTAACTTGCTCCGACTCTTTCTTTTTAAAAAAAAAATTAAACCTTCTGATGAATTCAATGAGTACAAATAATGTGCATATTATAACTGCCGAGTCTCCTATGCCTCGTCGTGAAAACTCTGGATGTGTAATTTGTTCGGCTCCTTGAGCAAAGCGTCTGACACGAAAAACTTCGAATTTTTCTAATCAAAAGGTGCCCAGAACCGACGGCGAGAGGAAGAAACGACACCTACTATGCGGTGGGAGTGGCAAATACCTGATCCGTGGGGGTGTGTTGGCATACAGTAATGCCGAGCCCCTTGACCATGTCCCAGTACTTCCTTCAGAATGCCCTGCCGGCGCCGCCGATCATGATGTAGTCGCTAATGCCTCGATACAGATGGCCGCACAGATCGAAAGCATGGTGATGCGCTGCAAAGAGGCGATTTCGAGGAATTTATTTGAACATCAGGAAATGAGAGACAATACCTCCTAGAAACGCTGGTGGATCCAAGGAATAACAGCAGCAGGCGAGTACGCATTACAGAAGGACCTGTAGCCAGTAGCAGATACCAGAGCGCTGCGCATGCGTTCACCGTTGAACCCCTCCGAAGTGTCGAATGCCTTGTCGACGTCCATCCCACGGGCCACGATCCCTTCGTTAACTTGAACGACACGACCATAATGAAGTCGTAGTAAAAAAAAAAAAAAAAAGGCCCACGTTCATCGTTTGCAGTCTCTCCTTATGAATAAGGATTAATGTTTGTGCCGCTGGTTGACAAATACTGGTTGAATTGTAGTTCAAAGTTGAACAACCGTCCAAGAAGTCCATGAATTGCCGTGTTCGTGACCACATGATTGATGCTCGACTCGTCGAGTTCCCTGCGCAGTGCTCACCTCTTGGCTTACGAGAAGGGGACCAATGGAGCAGGTGGAACGGGCTTCTCAAGGACGCTAATTCAAGTCTTACCTCGTAAAATTACCTGCTCGCGGTGTCTGAGGCCTTCAGTTATCGAATTAGGACGCTGACCTTCATAACAGGAATTCAGAAGCCAACTTGCCAGGCAGTGTGATTGATACTCCTTTTTGGACTCTCATTCAGCAGAACACAGGCTCCCGCTCCAGGCATTACGAGTTGGAAATTAATGGATTGAAACCTAGACGAACAAGGATCTGTAAAACGATATAAGGTGGCTTATGCGCAACATCCAGTTCTATTCAAGAAGCTTAGAGGCGGATGATTGCGTGTTTTTCTTTGGAGGCCTACCAGAACCGGTCGCTCTACCTTTCTTCGGCGCCGGCAGGTCATCACTAGCAGGCTCGCCGTCGGCCGTGCGTTTGAGCACTGGTACTCTTTTGGTTGTCTTGATTGGAAGATGAGGAACCAACATCTCGAGGTTGCGGTTGTCCGGCCATGCTGCGTCAGGTACCGCAAGGGCAGTTGCACACAGGTGTAGGAAGTAGGTGTGGTCCGCTAGCTTATGCGCATCAGGAGGGAAGATGGCGGGGGAATTTCCGGCGCCTGGGTGACTGTCCGATACGGTGCAGACATACAAGTAGAATGATTTCAGGGCCGCCTGGGCCGAGAGAATCCATTCAGTCAAGGGTTCGTTGTCCGTCAATGTGAGGGCACCGACAGAGGTCGGGAACAATAGCATGCTTTGCTTTCCCGTCCCACCGATGTATAGGCCAGTAAAAGTCTGGTATCGGCATTGCTTGAAGATATCGGTGATGACGTATTGGACCTCATCGAGTTGTTTGTTATGTGGAAGGTACTGAAGGGAGTAGTAAAGGATGACGTGGAAGAATGATTCCAAGTCATCCTGAAGGGTGTGTAGCTTGTATGGATTCATGAGAAGAAGGCCTGACATGAAGTACCAGGTTCCCTATGAAACAAAAACAAACGACGTCAGGAAAAGCCACCAACGCAGAGAGGGACACCCTTACCGTTCGATAGGTGTGCCTAGCACCTGGAATTGGGTCAGGAGGCTTCTGTCCAGGAATACCAACCCTCTTGGCCATATCCCAGTCGCCGAGGATACCACGACCACCGTTGGTGATCATGATGTTGTTGTCGCTGATGTCGCGATGGAGGAAGCCGCAAAGATAGAGAGCATCGTGATGAGCTGTAAAGACATTATAGTTAGAAGTCGATACCAACGTCGGGTAGAGATGAAATCTCACCTTCAATAGCGTGCATCACAATTATAAGGAACTGCCTTGCGTTTGTGAATTTCGAAAGACGCTTCCCAATAAAGTTCTCCAGGAATCGATTATGGGCTCGAGGAACGAGGACCGCAAGACGTCCTGCACGCCAGGACGCATTCTCGAACTCATGCGAGACAGTAGTCTGGCGCGATCCAAGAACGTCGCCGCCGTCGACGAACACAGGCACGTTCCGCACCTGCTTCTCGTTAAGCTCCTTGAGAATGTCGGACTCCTTGTCCATCCCTGGAAGGTCCACTCGCCAAGTATCCTTCAGAAACTCGATCTTCCCCGTCTTCAAGTCGTACACAGGGAAAGCCCGCGTCGCACGTCCAGTCACAGAGTCAGGCTCCATCATACAGTCTCTTCCGACGACCAGGCGCTCAGCCCCATCTGCAGTTGGGACACTGAGGGTGATGTAGGGACGGGGAGTCTCGCCACGAGGGAGGTATGGAGCCAACGCAGTTTCCGCCTTGCCAATTTCTTCGGGGGTCGAAGGGCGTACAGAGGTGTCCATGCCACGCTGCGCGTCGCTCATGCGAGAATATCGCCAGAAAAACTCGGCCAGCTTCTTCGACTCCGTGCGGTAGTCGATCGCTTCGGTGACGACGATCGCGCTGCGGTCGTTGTACAGAAATCGCACCTCCTTGTGGTTCAGGAAGACCATGAACGAATGAGTGCGATACTGACGCGCACATATCTCGGCCATCACCAGTCCGATTTGACCACGACAGTCCTCCGCAAGATCACCACGGTTCTCAAACTGGTGCTTCTGGCGCTCTTCGGGGCTACAATTCGGTTTGGGATCCGAGAACGGGAAGACGTTCGTCTTGACTTCGATGTACAGGTCCAGCTTCTCGAAATTCGTTGGCTTGTCGTCAGATATCTTCTCCGTATCCGCCTTGCGATACCCGTTTAACCACTTCTTGTGCAAGAGTGAATCGTGAT